CGCCCACAGCTCCTTAACTGGTCAGCTGGGAGTGAAGATGCAGGCGCCCCAGGTGTCCTGGTGAGAGGGCTGGAGGGTCCAAGGATGCATATGATCCTATCTGAGTTGCAGGCACCTGAACAGTTAAAAGAAAAAAAAATTATTCATGACACTTGTTGAGGACAGCAGGACCCTTTTACTAAAGAGGGTGATGCAACGGGTTTTTAAAAGTATGTTTTTATTGCCCGGCCAGTGTGGCTCAGTGGTTGAGCATCGGCCCATGAACCAGGAGGTCATGATTCAATTCCTGGTCAGGGTACATCTGGGGTTGCAGGCTCAATCTCCATTAGGGGGCGAGCAGGAGGCAGTCAATCCATGATTCTCTCTCATCATTGATGTTTCTATCTCTCTCTCTCCCTCTCTCTTCTTCTCTAAAATCAATAAAAATATATTTTTAGCTTTAGCCAGGTTTGGCTCCGTGGATAGAGCATCAGCCTGTGGACTGAAGAATCTCAGGTTCAAGTCCAATCAAGGGCACATACCTGGGTTGCAGGCCCTGGTCAGGATACATGTGGGAGGCAACCAATGTGTCTCTCTCACATCGATGTTTCCCTCTCTGTCTTTCTGCCTTTCTTCCTCGCTCTCTAAAAATCAGTGGAGTCCTGGAGACCGGTTTGCTCAGTGGCTACTCCCACTCCCCCTAAAAATAAAAATCAGTGGAAAAATATCCTCGGGTGAAAATGAACCAAAAAAACCAATTTTTTTAAATTTAATAAAAAAATAAAATAAAAGCCAGTGGGTCTATAAGTAAGAGAAAATAAAGACTGGCTCACTACCTCTCACGTGCCTGAATCTTCCAACAACCTGTAGATACATTGCTGCCATGTGCAGGCAGCCAAAAATGAAGATTTACATGGACAGTGACTTCAGTTAAGAGGATTCTTGGGATGATTGTAAAAAACAACAACACAACAAGAAACACTTATGGAGAGCTCACAGACTATCCCTTGTAATGGGTGCAATCATTTTATAAGAATTCTCTCATTTAGTTCTCACAGTAAACTCGTGGGCTAATCACTCGTTATTACTACTGTATTATTATTTTCCAGATGAGGTAAAAGAGTGTGATTAACCAATGCCATCCCAATAAATGCAATTAAAAGAAAGAAAGAAAAACATAGGGGGCATTGTGGGGCCCAGCCCAGCAGGCCTGAGCTGTTTGGAATAAAAGGCGACGGGGCCCTTGGTTCCTTTCAGTCCGTCCTTACAGTCCACTTCTGAGCTAGCCTCCCGCCTCTCTGGCTTTTGTTATGCTCTCTGGACTGGGTCTCACCCCCCACATGGTCACGCTGCTCCCTGGTGATGGGGGGACGGGTGCTGAGCACAGCCTGCTCCAGTGGAATGCCACTTCCATCCTTCTGCTCGGACACCCAAATGCTGACCAGCCAGGAGGTCTCGTGCAGCCCTGCAGACGGGAGTGCGTACACGAGTCTGTCTCAGTCAAGTCTCAGCCCGAGCCCCTCAGCGCTTTGGGGGAAAAGAAGAATCAACTGAACCAAATAACCAGATAAATGGCCAGGGGTGTTTTCTCAGGGGCTGTGAAAACAATATCAGTGCTCAGAAGAAGAAAAAAAAAAAACCGAGACAGGGAAATGGACTATGACAGAGAAAATTATTTGAGAATAGTGGTTTGACTGGGATGGGGGAAGTATTTGCTTATTTCCCTCCAGATGCATACCCAGTAATTCCACTGACTCCATCTCATATAATATTTATCATCAGGAGACGCAATTTTAGTTTCTGATGGTGCATAGGAAATTTCGTCACTATGAAACAAGATGATACAGCTCCCTGTGAGATGCTAGGACATGAACGTGACCAGGAGGCACACAGGAGGGGATGTGAAAGCAAATACGCCCCTCCACCCCACCCCGTGCCAGCAGCACAGCCTTGGCCAAATTACGAAATCTTCCCTGTTCCCTCCTGTTTGAGGAAATAAGATGGCGAAATACTACTTGCAACGTCACTGTCTAGTATAATAGCTACTAGCCCTGTGTGGCTATTTAAATTAATTCTGAAATTTAAAAACTACAAACTCAGCTCCTAAATTATTCTAGCTCCATCTCAAGTGCTCAAGAGCCACACTGAGTTAGTAACCAATGCACTGGACAACACATACATACAGCAGCCACAGAACTTCCATTGGACGGTGCTGGTTTATAAAAAAAAAAAAAAGATGGATTGAAAGTCATTTAAACGGTGCTGGGAACAAAGTACTATTAAAACAAAGAACATAGGTTTATAGTCAGGATTCTGAGATTCCTGAGGCTGTGAAAAGCCTGGTATATAAGCCTAGTATGTATGCTCCAAGTCTTTCTCCTGTGAAACACTCAGGGGCTGTCAAAGAAATATCCATTAACAAATACATTTAGCAGGGGGAAGAGTGAGGCTTCGGAAGAACCGGCACCTCCAATACAAAACTCAATTAATACGTAATGGAGGACAAGCCCTCCATTTGTGGTGGGAAAGTACTTCGAGAGCAAAAATGATTTCAAGCTTCGCAACATTAATTAGCTTAATTCCTAAGGTGGCTAACGTTTAATACTGTAAGTGCGATGCATTTTAAATGTTTTCCTGTCATTGGTCATACATATGTAATATCACAACAGGAGGAAATACAGCTGACCTTGTACACTGAACTTCTATCTGATATCCTTGCTAAATGTGCTTATTAAATCTAATAGATTTATCAGTTATTCTCAATTTTTTGCTGTCTCCTAGTAAGAACTCCTTTCCAATTCTAACATCCTTTTTTTTTTTTTGCTTCGCCCTTTTTCACTGGCAAGGACGTGCAATAATAGATATAGACCATTTTGCCTTTCTATATTTTTTCAGAAAGCTTTCATTTAAAGAATTGTTCTTGATTACAGAACCACTTGTGCAACAGATTGATATGTATGTTTATTGCTGATCCTGTCATTTTAATAATAAATGTGTTTCTAGAAATATGACCATTTCATATAGATTTTTTAATTTAAAAGGCTAATCTCATTCCTGAAATTGTTTCATTATTTTAATGTGTTATTAAAGTAGTGATACTATTTTTAAAATATCTGATCTTGGTTATTTGTGCCTTCTTCATATATTTTCCTAATAAACCTCTCCAGAAATTTATCAGTTTCAATAATCATTTCAACTAATCATCATCATCATCATCATAATTTCAAAGGATTTTATTTGATTCCACCCCCTTACTTCATGTTTGTTTTTATTTCATTAATTTCTCAACTTTATTATTGGTAAATCATTTTAAAATATAAATCTAGGATATAAAATTCCCTCCCGGAAATTTATTTTAGCAAACAACATCTAATAACATATACAATGGTGATACAGCACAACAAATTTATTCTTGGAAAAACGGTAAGTGAAATCTTTAAAAAAACAACAACAAAAAACCCATCAGTGCAAATAACCACATTAAGAGGAAGCACGGTAAGATCTCAAAAAACTATTCAGAAAATCACATGATAAAACTCAGGATTATATTCATGATCAGTACCCTTACTTAGCAAAGGAGGGCTCTAAACGGTTTTTAACTCAATGAATCAAACGCATCTGCAAAGACGACAAAGAGCTCACAGGCGGAGACTCAAAAGCACCGCTTCGAGCAGATGGCAGAGAACACGCCGTGAAAGGCTGTCCCACCACCAAGCCGCGCGAGCCTCGGGGAAAGGAAGGGGAGAAACAAAGGAGCCACCGCGACTTCAACAAACCAGCAAAAGAAAATCAAAGCCGGGGGCACACGGGGGGGGGAGGGAGGGGCGTTGATGAAGCCAGCTGCGGGGCTGAAGGAGCTCTGCAGCTTGTGCACAGCATGGGGGAGAG